GTGCAGCGAAAAAAAAGTAGAGTGCTCTGAGTGGCAAAGACTTAAAGTCCATTACTATTAAAAAAGTTTTTTTTTAGAGCGACCATGGAAACTTTGTTTGTGGGGCCTAAGCACAAAGATGACATCAAAGTTGGGTGAGCTTAATGTAATGGCAAGTGCGGGGAGTTGTAGAAGGAAAAGTGGAGGGGTTGGAGGCTGGGAAAGTTCACTCACATGTTTAGCTGCTGTCGAAAGTTAACTCCGGCCCGCTTCTTTGGACAGCCTTTGGCAACTTTGTTGCACAATCGAGTACAAAATTCACTCGACTGGATTAAAAGATTACCGAGGAGATTATGAATCCTGTGGGCGGGGAGAAAAGGTGGATGTGCAACACAAAAAAAAGAAGCAGAACCCTTCAGTTTTACAGGCTGGGTAGTTGCAAGTTTTCCTTTGAAGGCGAATTCTCAAATGTATTGCTCGCCCCTTCTGTCATCCGCAGAAACCCAATTCAATTTCAATTTTACCTTTAACCCTCGCTTTTTTCCTAAAACTTCGCGAATTCCCGACCCTAATTTAACGCGTTGACAATTTTTAATTTTTATTTAAAAACTTTTACCTGGCCAACCCTCAATTCAAATCAAATTTTTTCAGCTTCTCACCTCGCCAAAGTCTGTCCGAAAAAAAGTTGTTTTGCTCATTAGAAATTCGAAAAGGTTTTCCCTCTTCCGGCCACCGCAACAAACAGCAAACTTTGTGCATTAATTTCATTGCTCGGACAGAAGCTCAGGCTGGGAAAACCTGGAATGACAAACCCTCCAAAGAGTTTTCCAGGCAAAAAAGTTTTCGATTAAGTTGTGCTCGTTACGTTCTTTTTTATTTTTTGCCAAATTTCTTTGTAAGCTGTCAGAGATTTTCAGCTTGTAAATTGGGTGTCCGGTGTTTGTTTTTTGTTGGCCAAATGAAGTGCGCAGATTGTTTACTTAGGGCAGAGGGCATAAAAGGATTACCAGGGGACAGTTGAGGGTCAAAGGACTGCATTGCTAATGTTATCAAGAAAATGGCCCAAAGGTAAAGATTTCAGCCTATGGGAGAAGTCTTAATGGTTGCTCAAAATAAGTAAAATAAATTACGAGTATATTAGAAAGACTTACCAAAAATTGTTGATCAGAGTATATATATATGTTAAGTTTCCTGTTGAATAAATTCATTTTATGCCTGTTACTTAAATCTCTAATCTTAATATTCCTATGAGATTGCAGCTAAGGGCTGCCCTGGATGACTGAGTGACCTGTGTGGTGGGGCTCCATTTCTGATTGAACCTCTCGGTAATCTCCCCTTCCTGGTCATCTAGCCATCCTGCCGTTTCATGGCCATTGACATGGTCGACTCCCATCGTTGACCCCCGATTCTGATGGCTCTTGGACAAAAGCGTTTGTGACAGCCACTCCAAAAACAGGGGGGATACCGGGGAAAAAACGCACTGGACAGTCGGCTTAGGATCCACTCCTTTGGCCCCGCTGCCTCAATTCTCTGACAGCTCTCCAAGGACTCACACATCCCAGGGATTAGCCAGGCAAAGTAAATTTCAAAGCTGGCATAAGTTGAGTTTTGTCACGCGCCACCCCGAAAAAAGTACCCAAAACAGGATGAAATCGAATAGGATGGAATCGAATCGAATCGAATCGAATCGAATGGCAACCGAAAGCAATGAAATGGAAACCATGTGTATGCGAATGGCGTATTATGTTTTCAATAAAGGTATATATGAGAGGCAGGCACTACAAGCGCCACTTTTCCCGCTCCCCTGGCCCTCCTGTCATGCAAATCTCTAGCCTGGAAATTTTAACACTTGAGCGATTTTGATCCGTCGTCCCAAGAAAAGCTCCTGGAGCAAACATGAAATATGCCACAGTTCTGTTTTTTTCCCCCGTTGTTGCTGGCCACAGGAATGTTTGTTAATGCCCAGCCGTCCGACCGAACTAGGGAAAGAAACTGCCAGGGCCCCCAAAAAAGCAAATAAATAACGAAACCCGCTCTCGCAACATTTCAGCAAATAATCGCATAAAGCATTTCGGACTGCCCATCTGCTGGATCGCATATATGTAATGTGTGGCTGGCTGTAAGGGGTATAAGGGATATGCGGAAGGGGGTTGGGGTAGCTCCTCCATTGTTTGCTAAGCGATTTGGTTTCGGGTCGCTTTTGTTGCTGGCATTAACTGCGGTTTCCCGTCCACAGTGGCGAAGGACCAAATGCTCCTTTGAAGTGAAGGGATATGGGAGGATAAACCAAGGAAACTCTATAAAAAGATAAAAACTCCAAAGAAATTTTATAAAATGAGCATATACCCAGTTTTTAATGCCTTACTTTATTTTTTTATTTTTTTATATTTTATTTATTAAGGAAAAAAATAGGGTCTTAAGATTAAATCATTTAAATTGGGTGACTTACAACTTGTTTAAACTAAAAAGCTAAGTTTTAATTTTTACCTTTTCCTCCGTAAGAATTCGTTAATAAATAGGGGGAAACCTTAAAAGACGTGTCCTTAAAAGGAACATTTTTTACCTTTAACTTTAAAATTATTTATTCCATGGTTACTTATACTAAATTGAAAATATAAGCTAATCATTTCATTACTCTTTTAACTTTTCAGTCTCCAGTCAAAAGAAACTTTCTGAAACAACTCAAAGTAAAAGCGGCAATATTTACATATTACCCAGCCTCCCACTTTTCACTCACTTCACTTTATAATCGATTAGACAAACTGAGCATAGGAGAGATTTTCCTGACTGGCCTCAAGGGGTTTCCCCATAACTACAGCTCCAACGCCTACTCATTCCTACTCAAGTAAGTGCAGAGAGGAAATCAACACGTAAAATTCCAATTAATTCCGCTTAGCTAAATAAATCGTTTCAACGCAAAACACAAACTGATCATAAAACTTAATAACCAAAGGCACTCAAACACAAATACTTTCACGCACACATGGGCAACGGGATAATTGGCCATGTATGCGTTGTGTAAACAGTTTTTTGGGCGATTTGCTTATCGGCTGAATTGCAAGTTAGTGTGGCAAAACTTTTTGTGCTGATTAATAAGAAAGTCCTTTGCAGAAGGGAATGGGATTGGTAGTCGGTAAGGGGGAGTAAGGATTACATAGCCAGGGAAATTGAGACATTAGCCAGCTGGGCACGCGATTCCGATTCGCATCTTTGGGCACATCGCAAACGCATAAATCCAATTGAAAGTGCTTAGCTTTGATTTTCGCTCTCGAGCCCACTGCCGGACCTACTCTTCTTCTTCACACATATATATAAATATATATATCTGATATGGAGTGGCTTAGCCACCCAACTGGCCATGGGAATATATATATATGTGACCCCCAGTTAGAGTTTAGTTCGGATCGGATCGGTGCGTACGTGTTAGTTTTTATGCACGGCTTTTTCAACACTTGGACACTTGAGTGTCGAGCGCTACGTGCCGCAATTCCCATCGACAGAGTTATCAGGACATGTCCATATATTGATAAATGCTCAAAGCGAAACATGCACAGAAAGAAATCAATGGTACCTAGGAAGTAAGTACTGCGCGAGTACGTTTCCAGAAATAGCCAATATTTTTAAGTTTAAGCTTAAATAAAGCAAAATATTAAATGTTCTTAGGAACTTCTTCCTCTCAGTGTAAGAGTTTAACTAACCTCTGCCCGAAATCCCCTCCCCCTTTTCGAATAGAACAAATATTTAGCCGTATGCCTGCCGGCGGTGGAAATTAAGTCACGTCGCGGCAATCGCGCACAGCAGTTGAAAGTTTTTCCAAGCCGCCGACATGGCGAGCAAGCGGGACGACGACTGATAGTCGAAGGGAGCGGGGCACGGGGCACGGGGGCTGCTATGTAGCTTGAATAAAGGTTATTTGGCTGCGCGGAAAATGGTTTTGGCAATCTTGAAAGCGAAGCGAATATTGAAATGCCATTTCCAATGCAAATGCAGAATGGCAAAATTAATGATGTTCATTTCCTGCAGCCAGGAAAAGGACCCCCCATTTCCAACCCATACCACACCATAACAACCCATATCCCTCCCCTTTGGAAAACCCTTCAACCGAACAGCTTACAGGAGAATTATGATTGTGAAACAATAGACTTTTCGCCATGGTCTGGAGGCCGAATCGTTTGCTGCAGGCGGCGTGCAACAAGATTTTCGCATTAAGCTGAAACATTGAAACCATCCTCACTCCCCCATTTCGCCAGCCATGGAAGGCCATTACCATTTTCGGTTAGCTGCAGTTTTGCGTTGCAGCTGACGGCGTCGTTTTTGTTTCTTTTGTTCCCCTATACTTGGCAATTTTGTATGCACTTTTTACCACCACCCATCCTCCACCCCATCCCATTTCCCTTGCAACGGCTACCAGTTCTTTCCGCTGTTGTTTACATTGTCACAGTTGCCGCTTTTCTTTGCATTCGAAGTTTTGTCTGCTCAGAGCCGAGCTCTGGGCCGGGCTTAATGTTTTTGCATTTTATTCGCACCACCCATCTCTGCACCACCCACTCACTGTATTTGCCTTTTCAATTCCCCAGCAGTAAAAGACATTCGCTGCATTTGCTTAATTGCCTGAGAAGAAACCATTGAAAAGTCTTAAATGCAGTTGGTAGCTGGCTGAACATTTGCTACATTATTGAACAGTTTATCCATGATTTTTGGTAAGCAGAAATCAATTATATTAATTGGAACATAATAAACGATTATCTAAGAAAAATACACGGATTATGAAGTTCCGTAGACTTCTAATTTACTACGCAAATTCTACCTTGGTTTGCCTTAACAAAGTCAGTAAATAGAGTCGTAAATCTTTTTCGAACTAAGGCCACTCATAATATGACATAGTAATTATGCTTTGACCTCCATAACTAACCCACCTGCGACCTAGCCCCTAATAATCTAGTATCTTACTGCCTGTTAACTGAGCATAACTCATAACTATCGGTGGTACCAGCATGCTATATAAGCTCAACATTCTAAAGCAAAACCAAGCAGTTGTCTGAGAAAAGCCATGGCAATTTTAGTTTTAACAGTAATTCTCCTTTTAGGACAAGGGATCCTCAGCCAGAATACTAAATCCTTAGAGCCCTTGACAAAACTAAACGAAATCGTCACCTCCCGTTTAAAGGAAAGCCTCAAAGAAGCCCAACCTGGAGAGTTTTCCTCGCATTACTTGAAACTACAGCAAGCAGCTGAGCTTCCGTTTTACCAACTAGATCAAAAAATAATGGTTTTTAATGAGATCAATGTTCTTCAGCAGAATGAAAGCTCCTTGAACTCAACCAGTGCTCCAGTCAACCAAAATGACACTTTGACCGAGGAAGCATCGGCATTACGGCAACTCTCAGACAGGGAGTTTCGAAGGAGAGTCCTGAGACTCTTAAAAAGGCTTGGTATCTACGATAGTTTCACTGACCGAGTTTTTAAGGCAATCCTAAGCGATGAAAAGCAACTGAGAATGCTTAAAAAAAAGCTTGACTCTTTGGGAGATGATAACAAGGAAGTGAGCAAAGATGCCCTCTGGAGCTTTATTCACGATCTATTCTGAGCTGCGACTTAAAAGCAACCTACTGTACTTTTTCGTATATCAATAAAAGTTATAATTATTATGCACTAAGAGATGTTTTTTTTTTCCTTTTAGTTTAAAAACAGCTCAAAATATTAACCTCCAGTATGATCTAAATTTTACACATTATCGTAGTTCTTAGTCCTATAATCCGTGGGTGTATCTTTCTGGAAAAAACAGTGTGAGACTCAAAAATTAAATCATAAACAGCACAATCAATCTACTTACATTAATACTATCAACTTTTTTCCTAAGATACTTGTGGATGAGAGTAAAAACGTAGTTTATTTTTCGAAATATCGCCATCATGTACTCTTGGCCCTTGTCCCATAACTTTTTACGGAGTTTAACCAACCACAGCTCATAGGTGGGATAAAGTTCGACTGAGTTCACAAACTCATTGAGTATCGATATAGGCCTGCTTAGGGCATCAATGCCAAGGTCAGCCCACAACCTAAAGTGTGCCTTCCACTTGACTGATTCAATTTGATCGTACAACTTCCTGCGAAAGGCCTCGATAATTGCTTCGTCGAGAATATCTGCATTGGTCACTGGTTCAACCACTTCCTTGTCTCGATTGTTTGTGGGCTTTCGCAATACAGCCATTACTACATCTTTTGTTAATTGAATGATTTTATAGGAGCTAGATAGAGTTAGAAACTTACTGTTGGCAAAACATGCGAGCAGAATAAGGGCAAAAACTATCATCTTGCTTGGCTGAGTTTTGGGTACAACTAATATTTGTTATTTCTTATCACCTCTAGTTTGTCATGGCAAATCAATTCGATAAGGTCTATTTTATAAATAATCTAGTTAAGTAGTAGAAAACTCACCTCTTCAAACGTATCTTTGAGAATATAAAAACTTTATCGAGAAAATAAATCATAAATTTCCAGTCCATCGCCCTCGAATGCCTGTTTTTCCGGCAGGTGTAATCTCAGTGCGCTCTCGAATTATGCAATTAAATAGTGAAACATTTTGGGCGCAAACTTTGCCTGAGCTCCGTCGCTCAAACTGCAGGATTCCCACTTTTTGCACTAATTTTTTTTTTCTTTCCAGAAAACTCACTCAACACTCACTTAGCAGCATGAATAAAATTAAACTCACGGCGCAAGTTTTATTTTTGGCAGCAACAAAAAACGTTGAAAAATAGAAGAAATGGAAAAAAGGCGAAACATACGAAACTTATGGCAAGTTGGGAATATTTCAAATACTGAATGAATTTTGCACATATTTCAAACTTGATTCCATTTTTCCCCCCACCCTGCCCACTGCTGCACGTTGGAAAAGTTTGCGTGGCAAGGCAAGTTTTTCCCCTTTGGTTGTTGTTGGTGTTGATGTTTCACTTCTCGATTCTACTTTTAATTTCTGGCAAAGAGGAGCGGCTACAAAATAAAAAACGAGAAGAGAAAAGAATAAAATACTTTGATGGCAAAGTTGCTTATGGCGCTACTTTATAAGAGAGGGGGGAATGTGTGTCAAAATTAATTAATTTCATGATTTATGCACGAAAACTTTCCCAAGGCAGTTTTTCACAGGCATAACACAGCACTGCACTGCGGGTTAAGTGGTGCTAATGTTGGCCCATTGACCGCTGGCACTCCACCAACAAAGGAACCCCACACCCAATGAAAAACTGAAAACTAAAACGAAATAGAGGAACTCCCTGCTAAAACTAAACAGGTCACGTCGTCGGCCAGCAAAGTATTCTCCCTCTAACTAAGGAACCCCTCAGAAAACTTTGCCACCTCCTTCGGTCAAAAGTTGGAGTCCCCAAAAAACTGGACTAGCCAACAGTTGTTACCAGCACTTCGAGAAATATTAATATAAACATTTTACGATTTATTAATGCATGTGTTTAACATAAAAATCTCCCTTATTATAGTCCTAAATGGTAGTTTATATGATAAATAGATTTTAATATCCAAAACATTTCTTCCCCAATAACTTTCCAAATCAAAAATTACTTTCTCTCAGTGCATAGCAAATACTATTGCATTTCTGGCTTCTACTGTAGGTGTGAACATTTATTTCAACACCATTCCTCTGATTAGAGCTCTTTCAAGCCGCCTCACCCGCCTACCCACCCCCTTCTATCTTGATTGGCAAAGTTGAGTTTTGGGTTTTCATTTCCATTTGGCTTTCCCCGCCACCCGCGCCCCTTGCATTGTGCTGTGGAAATCCTTTCGGCTGCTTATCGTTTTTGCATTCATTTGTTTTCAATTGTAATTAATCTTGGCCAGAAAAGTTTTCTTTTGACATTTTGTGGCTCCCAGGGCGCTCCTTGACTCCGGCCTTAGTTTTGCCTGGCTTTGTATTGTCCTGACAAACTTCTCCTTGTTGTTTTTGCTTTTTTTGGGCTGGGTGGCGATGGCAACAACGTGTTACTGTCACAATTAAAATAAACTTTCTTCACTAATTGAAAAGTGTCAAGTGTAATTTCTTTAAAGCTTCCCAAAAACGAAAGTATCTTGTGGCTTGACTTTTTATCTTGATATTTTGACGAAGAAATTGATTTCAGGGATTGTGGGTTTATTTATAATAATTATAAATTATTTGTTGGCAAAACTATAATTGGAATTTAGACAAGTCAGGTGGTTGGGAAAATAATAATTTATTTATATATTGATATGACCAAAAATATAAGTTAAAATATCTCCGATTTCCAGAGAGGCGAATGAAGATTACTGAAAAGCCAAAGGGCTCATCCTTTTTTCACAAACACAACATATTAATCGCCACAAAAGTTTAATCTTTTACAGACCCACCTCAAGGCTGCTTAATCAAGCATTATCAAATACATTAGTTCAGGATCTTAGGCAACCTTTGCTCGCGGCACAATTTTCATAATCCATGTTTAAATAAGAAGAGCAGGGGAGTTTGAAAGTATTTTGCATTGCATTAATTGAAATTTTTGCCACATCAAAGGGCATGAAAAAGCCGCAAAAACATGAAAAGCTCCGACCAATGCATTTCCCACCCCAAAGCCAAAGAGATTTTATCCGCAAAGCTGCAACCGCACGAGAACTAATTACACTAAAGTGTCAAGTAAGAGAGAGTGAGCCAAGTTTTTAGGAAAAGTGTGCAGAGTAAGGCAAAGTTTTCTGTCGAAGGCAGTCAGCCAGTCAGCCAGCCAGCCATAAGTAATGCCGAACTTTGATATAATAATTTATAAGAATATTTGCAAATTCCAATAGTGGCAGGGAAATATTTTCGCCGAGATGCCCGAAAGTATGCAATGGCAAATGCACTCGCAGCTGCTCGACACTGAGCGGCGAAAGTATGCAGCCAGGGCGATAACGCAAATCTATTGGGGGTGAGTTTTAGCCAAGGAATACGAAACTTCACCCGGCGAGAAAACTTAATCCCAGACCCGGGAGCCCAAAGTCAAACAAACAAACAAATGCCGTGGGTTTGGGTTTGAAGTTGAAGTTGGTGGGGATTGGGGGGATTTCGAGTCCCTGGTCCTTAAGCTGCCATTCATCAGTTCAGTTTCGACTGGCCAAGTATTTAAGCCATTTGCTCTAATGAATGCGGTCGCGCATTTTTAAACGCCCACAAAACTATCCAAAGGGTTTGAGTTGGTGGTGGGACTCGCAGTTGCTCACAAAGTTTGCCAAAGGAAAGTTTTAACTTATTCGAAACACGTGCAAAATTATGCTTGCCGCCTTCGGATTTGCATACCCTGTATATTTTTATTCAGTTGAGTCTTTTGGGAGAGATTTATTTACATTAAAAAAAACTTTTAATTATTTTATAAAATTTATAACAACTAGAAAATAAATTAAAATATGGTTTACTATTAAACAAATTATATATAATAGTGATAAAAAATATATATCAAAAGGGTATATAAACATTCGTAACTATTCAAAAATCTCCAGTTGGTTTAGCTGCTGATAATTATTCGACCAGAAAACCCTAAGAAAGACAAAGAAATGCAAAACTTAAGTGGCTTGAATATGACCAACAGCTATTTTCCACATTTTCTTGTTTTCCCCAAAATTAGATGGATGTAAAATTGCAATAATAAGGGGTTTATGAAACTCACAGCCATTGACATTGAGCGCTTTGAATAATTAACAATTGTTTTTCATTTTAGCCTTTTTCAGAGCTCTAAATTAAGATCTTTTGTTCTGATTTATGGAAATGGGAAGAAGGAATGAACTTGACAATGCTGCGAGATGAATGATCGATGAATAGCAGCGGGAAAATGTACTAAAGCTGTGTGGGAAATTTTGTATGTGGGAGGGAAAAACAACACGGAAATATATAGTTAAATTTGTATATCAACTATAAAATATAATCCTAATGTTCTTGTCTAAATCGTACAAGTAGAGTAATAAATCCTAGCATTTTAATCCAAAAGCCCTGTAATATCATTTTATTTAATATTTATTAAAAAAATAAAGTTAACGTTTTGACAAATTTCTCTCCAAAGGCAAGTATTGGCACTCTCCAAGATCCCTCGCCTTTTAATTTATAGAGTGCAACCCAAATGGTTCACATCCACATCCATTAATCCCCGAGCAATATTCAAATTGTTCGAGCAGCGCAGCCAAATTAGATTGCCACCCACTTGAGTGTCTACTTATAGAGCCTGTCAAACTAACGGCAAAACTAATCCGCCTGACAACATGTCATGGGAAAATAAAAATAATAGGAGAAAGCACACCTAGATGTTCGGGCCATCGGAAGAAATTAGTTGGCCACGTAAATAAAAGACAAACAGATGTTCTATTATGGTTTTGTTTGTTTTCTGCTCGGGGAAGCTCGTAAAAGCTGCAAATCGATCGGAGATCTATCTCTGAGATCGAGAGCCAGAAAGAAAAGATGCGGCCTTTCACTCGGATTTTCCGATGACGCCCACTCATTGACGCCTTTCTCTCTGCCCGGCGGACACTTGCTGACAGTTTTTCGCGAAAAACTTGAGAAATTAAACAGAGCAGCAAGTGCAGCGGGAGAGAGAGGAGCGACAAATTAATTTGTGTTTTGATTTAAATTATGGTCAACACGACCGCTTCGCTTACCCGCTACCCCAAAACACCCCGCTACCTCTCCTGCTAATTCAATTAAATTCTAAATAAATACAACATGCCTAGTATTTATTTCTCGAAATATTATTTATGCTTATAATTTATATTCCGGAATAAATAACGAGTGGTCCGCTGGGCGGCTCCATGGACTGTCAAGGCGATCGGCGTGGATCGCCCGGCAGTGCCATCTTGAACGTTCCGCCAGCCTCACGCGAGAAAATCGCGCGCATCGTCGCCGCCGCCGCCGTCGCTTTTCTGCCGCCCACTCGCATTTTCACTTTTACACACCCGAAAAGAAAAACACACGGATATAAAGTGCAATATATATACACATATATATAATAATATTTTTGTGGCCCAGTGCAGTTTTTATGGAAATCATGTCACTTGCAGTGCCAGCTGAACAGTGAGGAAATTCTAGCCAAAAGTGTAAGGGAGTGCAGTTAAAGTGGCAACCGATCTCAGAAAATCAAAAAGTATGTTCAAATGGTTAAAGTTATAAAATACATAAAAAATATTTTCTTACGAAATTAACAAAAAATATAAACAGATACTGGAAATATCAATAAACAATACATAGAAAGCACTGTTAGGCCATCGGATAATGTGAAAAAAGGAAACAAGTTTCGTGCTTCTCAGAATGAACTCTTTAGTACTTTTCATTTTTAGATTTTTAATATTTTCAATATCTTTTCATCTTACCTTCATATTAAAAGTTAAATATCAATCAAATTGTTGGCCAAGAACATCAAAAAACATAAAAGGAATGTGTTCCTTAATTAAAAGTACTTATTAAAATAATAAAAATGCATTGTAAATGTTAATAAAAACATAGTGAATTCATAAATATTGTTAATTTGCCTCTTTTATTGTTTGTTGATTGTATCTGCAGCGCGTCGTGTGCGTATCTGTATCTTTATCTGTAAATTGTGGTTCTGCGAGTGCGTTCGTTTTGCGGCATCCAAGAGAGATTTGACCTCGCACTTCACCCATCAAGTGAATTCATTTGTCGTCCAACTCACGCGATCAACGGTGTCTCCTCCTCGTCATCGTCATCATCGGTCGTGTGTCTTCTGGGATCTTGGCCCTTGGATCTTTTATCTTGTATCTTTACAAACACACAATCAGCCAGGCAATTTGTCACACAAAAGAAATCATTCTAGTCTACGGAAGTTCTTGCACATAACTAGAGCCAATTGCCATTGAAGTAAGTCACTTACTAAATTGAAAACTCAAACAAATTCCAGCTGATCTTTTGGGAATGGGTTTTGTTCTTTGGGGATACTTTGCCGGTCGCATTCAATATTTATTACCCCCCGAATGCCCAACATGTGGGCCGCATTGCAACAAAAATAGCCGGCATTGAAATGAATTTAGCAAAAACATACTGAAAATCGGAAAATAGATCGTGGAAAAATAGGAAAAGCATAGATAGCTATCCGAAAATAAACAATACAAAAAAAAAAAAAAAATTATTAATTAGTTTTTGGACAAACTCTCAGTCGGCGCTGTGCTGTGTTGTGTTGTGTTCGACAGTTCCGTTCCATTAACATATAAATCTATATATAGGCCAGTGGTCCATAAATCTTGCACATCAGATGCAAATAAAAAGATATAGATTTAAGTTATGGTTCACGAATCGCTTGTTTATAGTTTGGATGCCGTTGACAATTTTTATTTGTTTAGAGGTTGGTTTTAGCTTAATTTATGTGGATCCCCAAGTCAGCTCAGCTGATGTCCAGCGGGGGTATATAAAATGATATCCAATTAGCAGACACAAACACACTCAAACAGACACACGGACATACTATAACATACAGATGACCCCAAAAACTAAAGCAATTTGTCAGGGTCTCGGGATTGGTTTTGGGGCTTCCATTTTCCATTTTCCACTCTCCGTATTCTCTCGTATATGTACGGTTTTGTCATTACGGTCAATAATTACCGCAAGCATGTCAACCGAAATTATTGCCCAGATAGATTTTCCAACCCCGTTTGCCACACTTCGGTTTAAGTGTCCGGCCATGTGTTGCAGTCAAACCGCAAGGACTCTCCGGATCCTGCCTTTTCCTTCTGGGCAGCCCGCTCTGCCGGAAATAATTACTCAGCTTGCTTTTCTTTTGGCTCGGTGGTGATGGTGATGGTGGGAGCCGGCGGCAATGGGGGAAACTTTCCCCACATTTAATTTATATTATTTGTGCTTCCTTTTGTCTGCCTTGACCGGCGACCCTGCTCTCCTGCACCTGCTTTCACCTGGCTTTATTAGTAGTTCACTGTCTGTCTGTCTGTCGGTCGGTCGGTTGTTCGGTTGGTTGGTTGGTCGGTTGGTTGGTTCGATATACCGCCCATACCACCCATACCACCCCCCACCCAACCCACTCAACTGACCCAGGAGTAAAGGACGTGTCCTGGCTCCTGCTGTTGTCGTTATTCAACCACTAAACTGTGTTTTGGCTTTTGTTGCATTTTCAACCGCATTCCTGTGGTTTCTTCAACTTCGATTTTCCAGTTGAGTTTCTAATAATATTATTGGAATTGAAGGGTTCTTGCAGCGCTTACTCGGACATAGGGTGAATGTTTGATGTGTTTCGGGGGGAGGTTGGAAGTGTTACGTTTAATATTTCGACTTCACAAACAACTTTAGCTATGAGTGTGCTTTCCTCTTACCAAAATGCTTCGGTCTAAATTATTAAATAACATTTTCCGCTTAACCAACACGCTCGCCCGCAGTCAGGCAAAAGTCTGGCCAAGAACGCCGCCGAATCGTGGCTATAACCATTGGTCAAATTCAATTCAATATTGATCGCCATTCGGGGCCAGCCGAAACAGAAGGGGCAAACCAATAAGGACAGGAAAAAATCGAATTGCAAGAACAAAAAGGGTTACTAGTTGCCATATAGGTACACTAAGAGAAAATAGAGATTCTATATCTTAAATAACATCAACTAACAGTATTAACACAGGTAATTAGGTGGTCAATAACAACTACTTTACTGTCTTTGATGTAGTTTCTTAGAATTTACCTATAGGAAACTTAAACCTACTTCCTACTTTTCTGCGTGTAAAAGAGGGCAATGAATGGGGCAGCAGTAACTATCCATATACGGCTACACCATCATATATCTTCGATTCCAATGGCTGACTTTTTATGGCGTCCATTTACCAGTACCCACTGTACCTGCAAGTGTACAGAAGCAGACGTGACCCACTGTGTCTGTCGCAACCCGTGAGTTGTGGGTTGGTGTTCTAAGCCATAGAGGGGGGTTAGGAGGGGCACCTGGCATCAGAGGAAGTGCGGAGTAATTGCTCGAGATAAGAATCTCAGATTAGATAAATCGGTAAACAGTTAGGTACAGACGCTAGCTCCCGATAAGCAGCAGCAGATTGCTATCAGAACTTTTTGGTATACAGCGTTAATTTATATTTGGCTTAAAGGCACTAGGAAGGGGGTTATATATAGGCTGTACGGATCATATATATCTTTTTTAGGTAACTACGAGCTCCATTTAATCACTTGGACCCTATTGCTTTGCTATCTTTACACTAGATTTTGGTGTTTGCTCTAATAGAATGATTAACTAATCTGGCCTAGGAGTTCTAATACAATTTCACATTGTTGTCAAATTCTCTTAGAATATGGCACGCAATTCTTATCATCTGATAGCTGGCTAATGGCAATGGTTTGTGAATGAAGCTATAGCTGTGTAGTAACTATCAGAAAGTAGCTATCACTAGAATCGACTAATATTAATTTAATAAATTGCTTTGTAGGTATCTCAGGACTGAACAGCACTTGATTAATCAACCTACAAAAAGAGAGCCAAATTATAACTCGGGCCCATGAATAGATAATTGAATTTTCGATTTTTCCATTTTCGATTCCGGCCAAGGCAGGTAAAAACCAATTGTCCACCCTTCCCTCCCACCTTCCCAAATGATTATATCCTTAGAAGGGGACAGAAAATGATAGAAATAGAGGGTAAGAATGAGACAGACTGAGACAGAGGCCGTATGTAAAGTGACACACATTTACCACTAAATAGTCGCTTATTATAATTTGATGGCACAATGACAAACAAACCCACAAAACGCAGCTTTCCTTCGCCGACACGTATCGGTTATTTACCGGTTCTATATAGGATATCTAGTATATAGACCGACCGGCAAGAGAGAGTCGCTGGCGATGTTATGGCCACGGCTGAGAACGGCTGTCCGGTCACACGACCCCACAAAGTCGCCCACTCGAAACTCATCGATACTTTGGCTACGTGGCAAGCTCATTGGTCTCCATTTTCTCCACTACCCTCTCCCCCGCTTTGCTTTTTCCCACAAACTGCTGGCAGCGCTGGTATTTGTGTGTAATGGCCCTGCAGACACACAGACTGATGGACGGACCCCGGGCCGAGGGATATATTTCCGTACATATAAATTCAGAGCGGCCACTCGCATGAGTTTAGTTTATATTTATGAGCATTATAGTGCGGATATATGGAGCGCGAAGTCGAGAGTTGTCCGAAAGTAATTGCAGTGACTGTTTATACTCCTTTATGATATTTACCAGAGACTCAGTTCAGTTTCGGTTTCGTCATGAATTTTGGTAGCAGATCCGTATCATATACAGTGCTTGCCGTCTGCCCGAATGTTTGCTGGATTAAGCCCGGTCTGACGAATGCCACCTACCGCTTCCCCAGTCGATGCACTCCGCCGTGGTCTCGATAAGATAGTCAATTAAAGAGCTCGACAACCTGTACTATCCCTGCGATAGATAGGAAAGTCAAACAAAAGCCAACATTTTCCAACACGACGATAGGAGGAGAAGTGCTCTCCGTTCGGAGCAAATGTTTGGCCAGAGAAAACCGTAGCGTGAGAGAAGGCAAAGTGAAATTTACTTTCCTGGCGGCAATCAGCGAGCAATTATGCGATAAGCTCTTATCAGACAGTAGATAACACTTTCCCGAGCGAGAGACGACGGCCCACATTTCGTGGCCGAGAATTATGAAATCGGAATAGTTGTTCTCCATTGGCGTCTACGTGCGGTCGTTTTTTTCGTCGATTTTGATCAGTGCAGTTCGCGAGTGACTTTTCAGAGTGATTTACCTGATTGATTTAACTGATATCTGTAGATAAAAGTGATTGATATCTGCCCTAGGAAAAGGTTTTTGTGGCATAAGGTGTGTGAAAAATCAAAAACTGTCTTTAGAGCAACTTATTCTGCGGGATATTTGTTATTTTGATGTGAGTAATAGTTGCCTAAGAACGCACAAAGACTGTGTATATTTTGGAATGCATTTCAAGGCCTAAGAAGCAATCGATTAGCTCTTTTGCTTGAGTTCATACATATTTTGGTAGATTTTCAGACTGTTACTCAGCCACTCTAATTGTTAACAATATGCGCACTTGAAAAACTGTTATACAAACTAGTATACACACTCAGACTTCCGCAGATTGCATTGGCTTAACTCTTAGTCTGGACTATGTTACATATTTTTACTTAACTTATTATCTTAGCTTATCTTCACCTGTCTCCCCAGCGGAGATTAGTCATACGTCTGCTGGAAGTAAGACACTATCTGAAGTTCCTCAGAAACTATATAGATAAAGACCTGTTCATCCTCAGTCTTCCAACTCCAACTTACTTGGATATGAATGTATACCATATTGTCTCCAAAAATCAAGCAGAAGGTAAAAAAAGCAAAACCACAATAAAACGTATAAAAGTGGAGAGATAAGATAAGGAAAGTCGCTCAACAAGTGAACGGGGCAAAGGGAGGCATTCGGTATGTGAATCCGACATATGGGGATGTGTGAACGAGACATGTGTTGGTACTATAGTACCAGACCCAGACCATATATATAGGTAGATGTAACGACCATGACTATAGCTACAGTTCACAATGCAACCATGGACAAGTGACATCTTTACGAAATGTCAACTGTCAGAATGGCAAGACGCTGACAGAGAAAACACCGAGAATCGGGGTCAAAGTGTCCCTGGGACCAAGACCACTACCAAGACTCCGTTGCCCACATTTGCATACAATGGGCAAAGTTTGATTATCTCTCGGTTCCGGTGGGTGGCAAGAGCAGGGGCAGGAGCATGTGGCATGCCCCGACTCAAAGGCAAACTGGGCAAAATATTGTCACTAAAGTTAATTAAAAACAAGAGGAAACGCTATAGTCGAGTGCCGCGACTATAAGATACCCGTTACTGTTTTACACAATTTTAAAATATTAATTTTGCTAGTGGAAATTCACAAGGCGCCACCTATTGTCAGAGGAAGTATGTTGAGTATGCTTATAGTGACGTCACTCCCCATGTAAGGCCTTATAACTTAATTTCTTTATAAACAGCGAAAAAATGTTCCGATTTGAAAAATCTTTTGTAAATCGATAGATATTAACAAAAATAAGTTACACAAGGTCAAACGAAGGCATTCATAATAATATTATAGACTCCACAGTTTTCCGCGGTTTGTGGGCGTTAGAGTGGGCGCGGCCGGATGCAACTTCGTGGCAAGTTGCAGAGGCATCTCCTAAATACGTGTTCCTAACAAAATTGTGTAGCTTTTATAGTTTTCGAGATTTTTGCATTTTTGGTTTTCGGGTTTTGTGGGCGTTAGAGTGGGCGTGGCGTGATCGGTAAAAAACATCGCATTGGGAGCATCATAGAAACATACATGCATGATCCGAACTTTCTATCTCTTATAGTTACCGAGATATCAGCTTTTCAAAAATCCGAAAACCGTCTTTGAGCCTTGTGGGCGTATGGGTGGGTCTGGCCGGATAGTAGTAGCACTATAAGATGCCTGTCATCTAAAGATTATACTTTCTGAATTTCAACTTTCTATCTACAATAGTTCCTGAGATTTCAGCAATTTTAGTTTTTTGCTATTTGTGGGCGTTAGAGTGGGCGTGGCAGGATGCTGTAATAAACTTGCGCTGTCCCGGACCTCAAGAATCTTCATGCTTAATCTCAGCTTTGTATCTGCTATAGTTCCCGAGATCTCAGCGTTCATACGGACGGACGGACGGACGGACGGACGGACGGACGGACGGACGGACGGACGGACGACGGACGACGGACAGACGGACCTGGCTCAATCGACTCGCAATGATCGATCAAGAATATATATACTTTATAGGGTCGCAAAAGCTTCCTTCTATCTGTTACATACTTTTCAACGAATCTAGTATACCCTTTTACTCTACGAGTAACGGGTATAAACAGCCAGGGGCCCAACATGTATCCACACTCACACACCCGTGTTGGGATTGGAATCTGGTTTAATAAAAATGCCAAAGGGTGCCAGGGGTTGAGGTGGCTGCACTGGGGGTTGAGCTCTGCCTTTGGGGGTAGCTCTCTGTCAACGCTGCGTGGGCAAACAAAGGCAAATAAATAGAAAAGAGATACTCAATAATCAATAGATAAATAAAATTACAAGGTGACAGCAGCAGCGATGAGGATGGCACAGCTGGCTGCCTTTCCCCACCAATCTCCTCCTGTATATCCCCCAATATCCCTTGGCTCTATGTGCGTTAAAGCTGCAGGAGCCACCTCGGCGATAACTGCTCATAATGCAGCAGCCATGGGTAATCGTGTGTGGGTTAGCATCGAATGGGAAATACTCTAGAATAAAATGTAGTTCTTTATTGAAGTCAAACCAACAAAGGAGACCTGATAGTAGGTTTAAATTATACAGTCTTCCACTCAATCTTTTACAATTTAAAATATCTTTAAGGTTTTTAACAGTATACCCCAAATATACCTTAAAAATCGCATACCCTAACACTAACGACGTTGGCGTCGAGGTTGTTGTCGTCGACATCGTTTGATGGCGCTAGGATAAGCGCGTGGCAAGGATCCACAGGAGCTAGATGGTGGGCGGTAGGAGGGAGGGAGGCATGGCAGTAGCAAGAGCACGCCGCTGGCAAACCGATGACTGCCTTCCTAACACGCTTGCCTCAGCTTGGGGGGAATTTGACGGGGGATGCAACAAGCGCCTCATGGCACGACAACGATGCGGATGCGGATGATGACGACGACGACGACGACAGTTGCCACAGCCTGGCCAAGAGGAGCGGACGGAGCCAAAAAAATAAAACAAAGCACCAAAGCTCGCTGTGGAAATAAATAAGCGGGGAACGTAAATAGAAAAGCGCGAAAATATGCAAGCGCTGAAATTTATTAAAAAATAATAGAAAAACCGGCGAATTTCGTGGCGATTATCGGGAGAACGAGAGAATTTCGTTCAAGCTGGGGGAGAGCTCGAAGTGTGTGCCAGAAGTGAACCTTAAATTTTAGTAAAAAGATGTTCCAGTATCAATGAACTTCTTTTAGTAAGAAGATCTGAAACTTAAAAGGCTTAAAACGGCTTAGCTTTTAACCAATTTACTTCGGATGTATCGTAAGAATATCTGTGTAACAAATTTAAGGTCTTTAAGGTTGACTTGTAGCCGGAAATTGAGGTTGTTAATACTTTAAAGTGCCTCAAATTCAAGCTTTAATGCAGCTGTTCCGGTCACAGAGCAATAATACTAACCGTAATCGCTTTCCTTGCCAGTACGGCATGTGTATCCGTCCGTCCACACTATATCTACAGAAATCGGTGTATGTATGTGCAGACGCGTTAATTAAGGCGCCCATGCCTGTGGCCAGTCAAGTGCGACAACAAATAATTTGATTTCAATTTAACTAATTAGCTGGAGCCTTCAACATTATGCGGCCAACTGAGCTCTCGCTCTCCACTATGTGAGCACTCGAAATGCTTATCTGTTTAGCGGCAGATGCCAACATCTACACTTGAAAACTTAAAAGTATCTTCATAGGTTTTACCTTTAATCCAAGGCCAAGTCATCAGATTGAACTTCCTTTAGAGGTTTCGATTGTTTCAATCTCAACTTTGAGTATAGTTTACATTGATTAGGCAGCTGTCTCATTGAGGAGTTAAAAATCTTTAAGTTAAAACTAAATTTCTCTCAGTGCACTTGCATTAGTGTGGATCTATATGCCGGAGTATGTGCAGTGATATACTTCTGTGTGCGAATCAAAGCGGGCACTTCAATGCAGACAGTCGAGTGGCCCAAGTACTGCGGTCAGTCTGTCAGTCAATATGCTTTCCATTCAAATGCGCTTAGCTATGCAGTTAGGCTCCGTGGGCGGTGGGATTAGCTAGGAGAGTGCGCGCCTTCGGGGGGCGGAAAGGCAGCCATTTTGACTGCGGTTTTTCCTAGTGGCTACTTAGAACATTAATAAATATTTGCCACGCTGCTCTTTTCCGGAAAATGTAACACAGAACTACCTAATTGGTAAAATTCATTTTAATTAAACATTTTTCATTTCGAATAGATAGATGTTAGGGTTTATTATGTAATTTTAAATCACTAAAGATTTATTATGACTAAACTACCTTAATTTGTTCTCATATACACTCTACCACTCTTTTTTAACCGCATCGCGCACTCAATAATACAACTTGAAAACTCCTAATACACTTCTTTCAATCAGCTAACGCTTTGTTCTCCATTTAATTACAGTTGGAACTCAAGCTCAACCCTCAACAGAGATAACAAAAAAAAATAAAACGCAGAGGCTAATTGTGAAAGCGAAATAAAAAAGAACTGTGATAGAAAAAGGATAATCAAGGGGGTAGAAAACTAAACACAGAAAGAGGACCCTACTCCTGCCAGCTGGAAAATAATATACAATTTTAATAAAACTAAAACCCGAAGCAAATTAAAAAGCAAGCGACGCCAAATGCGGCACTAAAAGTAATTAGCGACAGGAGCTACAGGAGTTGGCAATAAAAACAAAGCAGAGGTGTAATAAATGATGTTGCAATCCTTGAGTCTGCACGCGGATAAACTAAGCGGCAATCCACCAGCAGCAGCAACAACAACAGCAGCAACACAAGCAACATCAGAGGGAACAACAGCAACAGCAACAACAATGCTAACAACAGCACCTGTTGCCCATGTTGCTAATGGCAACAACAGCAATTCGAGTGCCGGCAGCAACAGCAGCATCAACAACAACAGCCTTTACAACAATAACAATTTAAATACCGGCAACAATAGCCAGCAGCAGCAGCAACAACAGCAACAACAACAACATCAGCAGATAAAGCCGGTCAAGTTCGAGTATTTAGAGAATCTAACGAGCTCGGGAGCAACTTCAGGTGCCATCGCAGCGACAACAACTTTTACGGGCGCTGCAAAAAGTTTTCATCCCTATTTGCGGCCCACCGGCAACAGCAACAACATCAACAGTAATACCAATATCCCAGCATTATCTACAACAACACCAACGCCAGCAACAGCGGCAAAAATGTCGACAACATTGTTCGAAACACTCTTGCACAACCAAATAAATTCCAGCCCAACAGCACTGCCAGCAGCAACAGCAATCGCAGCTATATCTGCAGCAGCAACACCAGGCACCGCAGCAACCGCAACAGCAGCAGCAGCATCAGCAGCAGCAACGGCGGCACCGTCAACCCAGCTGAATTCCAGCATTAATTCCAGAACTTCATTAGGCGACCAGGGTGGTGCAATTGTTGTTACCCCTGCACCGCCCGTTGTTGCACCACTGCCACCCATCATCGGTTCAGCTAGGTGAGTGTTTCCCCCGTATTCAAATCCGAATTCTTGTCCCGCTTTTTTTGCATCATTGCTAGCTAATGACTGCTAATTACACTCAAATGATTTGCTGCAACAGAGAGTAATTTTCCATAGAAAATCTAGGAAATGCAGATAGCCCTGCGAAGTATGCTATGGTTTATGTTAAAGAATTTACAGAGCTATTAAAAAGAGTAAACCAGATAATAATGTCTTCTATATACTCCCAATTTTAAGCAGAAAAACCTTAGCTATGTCTGGTAATATCCTGTTTTCATTTTACCTGCTCTTCGGGAAAAATGCTTCACCAACCTCTCCCCCACATCTTCATTGCTTATCACTTTGCATATTACCTTTACCGTTATGGAACATTTCAATTTCCTATAGCTTCCCAGGACATCACCTGCCACCCTCAGACAACTTTGGCTATCACATTTCAAATGGTTATTTCTCGGACGTGCGCCACATTTTCTATTTGTGAGCTTCCTTTGCCCGGAAATTATAAAAAATTCCCACCGAATGTTGAATCCGTGGGCGGCCCACTTCTCAGCCTTATTTAATTAAAATAAGTGACAATGTGCATTGGCCAAAGGGTGGGCTTGGTAATTGGCGTATTGGGTGGAAGTTCGAGGCTGACATTGAGTAGCTAATGATAATTGCCATTGCATTAATGTTATTAATTGGCAGGAGCCATCAAGTCGACAATTTTCACATAGCCCAAGTCATCAGCGATAATGGCGAATGATTATTGACAGGACATTGTAATTATAATATTATAGCATCTTCATAATGATCTCAAAGACGATAATGTCGAGAGGGCAGAGTGGTAAGAATCCCGGACTCTTCCCTTCCGAACTCAACAACAATCTATCCGGCTTTCTCTGCTGTCGTGCTCGGCCATTAAATAATAAAGCAGAATTATTAAATTTATGTTGGGTCATTTTTATACGGCCTGTGTCCAACGCAAGGGGAGGCTGCACTGCCTTATCCATCCCCAACTTCTTGTAAATATATATTTTTTTTTGCTTCCTCTATCTCTGAGCTGTTTGTTTTTGTTGTGACAGGCGCGGCATAACAAACTGCCATCATAAATTAAGTGCCACGTCATGGTCATGTCGCCGCAGTGCACAGTGGTTAAGAATAGAGTCATAAAAATGTAACTGTGTTTAAAGTCTGGTTAAAAGTTTATCTTCGGATTTAACCGTTTAATGTGAAAAACTATGTTAAATAGTTCAGGATTGTCGATTAATCCTATTTGTATTTATTAATAATTAATAAGTTTTTGAATAACAAATAGTTTACCAATAATTCAGCAAAATGTAGGCTTCAGTATAAACAATTTTTAGCAAGACATGCAAAATATTCGCCAAACTCACTGTCCGGTGACATTTTGTGCCCCTCGACAAGGCTTCAAGCTGTTGATTCGCGCATTGAGCTGCGTTACCAACATCCTCATCAGCTTCATCGTCAAGCTCATTGGCGGCGATGTTGGAAAACACCTGCTGTCCTGGTGCCAAATCCCCATTTCCCAGTGCCCACCCACTCACAGCCACAGCCACAGCCACACCTACTCCCCACACTCCCATTTCACTTTCTGACGCGCTTCAGCTCCCACCGCAGGCGATTTTCTCATTAGGCCTGGTCGCATTTAAATGAAACTGAATTATTAATGCACAGGCGCATCCCCGAGAGACCCGCGATGAGAACTTGGAAGGGAATCAGGGGCAAGGGAGCAGAAAGATAGTTAGCTGCGAGCTGGAAGCTGGCACTCGGGGAGCGTTCACCTGACTCCCCGATGGATTCGCGCCTGGCTGAAATAATTGCCTGCCCGACTCCAGGGGCAACACACCTGTCGCTGCTTTCTTTTTCAGACACCCCCATCTCTTTTTCTTATTTGGTTTAATATATGGAATTTATTTTTTTTTTAAATTTATGGTAACACACTCGAGAAATTGGCTGATGCGTAAATGGCTCCCGTTTAGAGATTTATGCTGCAGGCATCGAAATCGCGATGGATTACGTTGGAGCCTGTGCTCTTTCCCAGGTGATTCGACACCCCAATCTTGGCTTATTCACCTGCAGGCAGGCCTAAATTTATCACCTTGACATAGACAATTTGGCTCGTCCTCGTTCCGGCTCTAATAGATTAATTTCGTTTTGTCATTCGATGGCCCGCGGCAGACGCGAAGCTTTTCATGGGCTTTTCACTGAGTGTCGCTGGGTATTCATCTTTGGGAGATGGGAAATGGGAGGAGCGGGGGCAGTTCATAACTGGCTAAGGAAGTAAGGGTAGATGAATGGATGGCGGCTGCAAGCGCTGGAATTACTTACGCAGGAAATTGGAAAATGAAGAAATTTAAAAGTAAATTGGAAGTAATTTCCTAAATGGCATCGTCTCAGATGACTCCGTGCGATAGCTCGAGTTAATAATGTACCAACACAGGGCAGAACTTTGTCACTCTCTGTACTGAGATATATGGCACTTTCGATTGTCAGCCTGAAAGTATGCAAAGCTAAAATTGTTTTGCATTATTCAGATTTGAAATGAACACGAATCGAGATAGAAATTGCTCAGAAGACTAATACATTTTATTTTCTATTTAATGGATGATTTAAAACGCATTTAAATTGTATCATAAAGTAAAAATTAAGCTACTAATGGTTTCCAACATGTTAAAAATCCAGTCAGGAATAATCCCAATTACATCCGTGAGATTCAACCCAACATACCGCTTTCACTTAGACATCCAACTAACTAGCTTAGCCAATTAAGTGCTGAAATTTATTGGGCCAACTGCTTGACAACTTCTGCTTACGGCAAATCGACTCCGTAACCGAGACCTCGAAGCAAATTGACAGCCAACCAAAAGTCAATTTCGTACACCATCAAGAGCACCCAATAAACCCCCATTAGGAGCAACAACATCGGCTGGGAAAAAGGGAAAACTTTTTCGGCAGCACACAAAAACCAACTGAAAGTGACCTCAAAGTGGAGCGTTCAATGCGTTGCCAGTCACTCAAAGACCCACATCCACATCCCCCAAAATGCTCCTCTGGAAAATGCTCCGCCCAAAACCCGCCCATTCCTCGAATTCAGAGTCGGAGACTGGTCAACCACAAAACAAAAGTAACAACGTTTACAACTTTTTAGATTAGATTAGTTTGCTAATAACAATTAGTATTTGTATTTTATGCTGTTAGCCAACTTCGTATCAGACAAGGATGGAGAACAAATGGTCCTGCTTGTTGTTATCTCCCTCTCCTTTTTTATGGTCATTAGCAAATGGAGTTAGGAACTGGAGGAGTTAGATTCTGGTGTAATGGCAAAACAATATGTTGTCCATAAAAGTTCAATGAAAAAGTTGGGAACTCGCATTTTAGATTTGCAATCACTTTATATGCGAGTGATGGAAATAGATTTGCTAATTGAGAAATAGAAACTGTTGGCATTTCGTCAGCTTCAAAGTGAATTGGTTTATTTTAGATGGAAACCTATTTTTTGTGAACTACAGATAGATCCCATATTGTTACACGTCGGAAATGTAGTTTATCATCAAAATCATAATTCCAGTAAAATATATTTAAAAACAGCTAGGCTTAACACCAGCCTTTCAGATGGGAAATTCTAAGGCGGTGGATGTCGTGGTCTTTGGGTCGGCAAATATCGAATACATAACGTAAGTCTCGTATAAAGCACTAAAATCCGTAATTATCAAACTAAAATACCAAAGACATGTTGCTGAGCTGCCGAAACCCGGAGAACTTGTCGCCGGAACGTATATGGATACATGCTTCGGTGGCAAAGGAGCCAATCAGTGTGTGGCAGCTGCCAAACTGGGAGCTTCCACAGCACTGGTGGCCAAACTGGGAAAGGACGAATCCGGCAATGGTTACCTGAATCCATCTGAAGCATCAAGAGGTTAATGTGCTGCACGTCGAGCAGGTGAAAAATAATCCCACGGGCATGAGCGAAATCGCGGTGTCCGATGAGGGACAGCAGTACACGATCAACGTGGCCGGTGCGAATGCCCTCCTCACGGCCAAAGATGTTAGCCGGGCCAAGAAGGCTTTTAGCGGTGCCAAGGTGCTTCTCTGTCAACTGGAAACAGACATGAATGCCAGCATGTGTGCGATGCGGCAGTTCAAGGGAGTTTCCATTCTACACATGTCACCCATGAGAAAAGAGATTCCAGCTGGAATGATCGCCTTGCCCAATATTCTGGTTGTAAACCAAGAGGCAGCAGCTCAATTAGCCGAATTGGAGGAGGTCAAGACCCTTGAACAGGCTAGAGAAGCAGCAGTGGCTATCATAGAAAAGGGAGCCAAGAGCGTGATCATCACCATGGGCGACCAGGGTGCGGTTTATATGTCTAAAAAGGACACCGATATGTGCACTCATGTGCCCGCTGCCGATGTGCCGCATTTGGCCGATCCCTCGGGAGCGGGAGATGCCTTTCTGGGCAGTTTGGCCTATCACATAGCGCGATTTCCGAAACTGACCACAGAGCATCACATCAGTGCAGCCAATTCCTGTGCTGCCTATTCCGTTGGCCGACTTGGCACTCAGCCCAGTTTTCCGGGCAAAGGATGGTGCCAAGAATGATCTATGCTATATGACACCCACCTTCAATGTTATACCACCTCCAAGTGCAGAAGCTGAACCTGGGGAAAATGAGGAATCTGGGGAAACTAAAGAAGCAGCAACCGCCAGTAGTTGCTCCTCCACCTGAAGAAGCTCCTGCTCCTGAACCAGTAGTTGAAGAACCACCACCACCTCCTCCGCCAGAGGAACCTGTTGCAGAAGCTGCACCTCCTCCACCAGAAGAAGCTCCTGTTCCAGAACCAGTAGTTGAAGAACCACCACAACCTCCTCCGCCAAAGGAACCTGTTGCAGAAGCTGCACCTGTGGACGTTGAAGAACCCCAACCAGTAGAAACTTCCAATAAACCCACAAAAGAACGACCATCAACTAAAACATAAAAACAATATTTTTACTCTATGCAATATTCCTTAAAAAATTTTAAATAAACTTCTTTTAGGAAACAACGTTTTCTTGTTTAAGTAGTACTTTTTAAGAATTTTTTTATTTTCTCTTTCAAAAAATAAGTACATTTCCTCTCTTTTTCAGCAACCAAAGTCCCATTCGTGAGCCCTCAATTAAGATGGAAATGATGGAGACCAACAGTCCGGATTCGATCAAGGATCAGCCGGATGCGGACAATATTAAGATGTTCGTAGGCCAAATACCTAAGACCTGGGACGAGTCGAGGCTCCGGCAAATGTTTGAGCAGTTCGGACCCGTGCACACATTGAATGTGCTCCGGGACAAGGTCACATCGATTAGCAGAGGTGAGTGCCACAAGATGGAAACGCTAGCCCCGGGGCATACAAATGGCAGGATTATTCCGGGGGCGGTTCAATGAAATTTTACAATGTCCATCCATTCTGGGTGGGTCCCCGGGCTCTGCGGATAAACATCAAGTAATATGATTATGCTGATGGCGAACCCATCAACATTAAAACCTGTTCCCAGCACACGTGTTGAAGGGCAGGAATGCGGTGTTGGCCAAAGTTTTTGCCGAGGTAATTGGCCATAATTGTGCGTGTATAAACGGGAGAAACTTCCACATACACAGATACACACACACCCTAACTGTAACTGGCGGCAGGATGCAGGACATGAGCATGTTGCTCTGGTTAATTTTGGGCTGTATTAGAATAATATGCGCATTTGCTTGCAAACTTTCCTCGAAAGCGAAAAGGTAAATTCTATTATGCATATTTATGGTCTAGAGGGGTTGATCCTGGCCAAGAGTGTGTGTGTGTGTGTATGGGTGGATTAATCCTCAGAGCAAGGTGTTCGAGCACGGCTAACTCGATGATATCCACCAAAGGGAGAAGTGTGGTTTATGTGGCTGCCAGTCGGAGTAGGATTATAATTTAATCTTTGTAATGGAGCAGTGGATAGTTTAGATGGGTCAGAGGAGGCAGGTTGTATACCAACTTCCAGGAAGTTTCGTAAGTAATCCGATAAAGATAAATTAAGGCATAAAAGAAAAGTAAGGTAACATAAATAATAGTACTTATTGATTTGAAGGGGACTTATGGTTATGTAACAAAGATTTTTTCTTAGCACTAAGAACTAAGTAATAAAGCTATCGGAACTTTGTAGATTTCAAAAGTCCTTTTAAGACGGAAAATATTTCCTTATCATCGAAGAAAAAAAGCAATATATCTTAGCCTAAGCCTCACCCAGTCCTTAGTTCCATAATTTTTGTCCACGTCCCATTTGCTCAGCATGGCTTGCATGAAGCGCTCGTCCCGTGTCCAAAATTCTGCATGCCAATTTAGATCTATATCTATCTAGACTTAAGCCTCGATCAATCTGTCTCAGATGCATGATGAAAAGCTACAGCTAACGAAGTAAGAGCTTAACTTTGTAATGGTCCCCAGTAAATAATACGTAATGCATCCGATAAATTATATATATTTAGTAAAGTTTAAATATATATATTATATATAAAATGTTCGTTCTGTATCATATGTTCTGTGCTACTGTCTATCGATTCGTTTGATTTGTATTCGATTTGTATTCGATTGTTTCATTTTCGTTTACAGGGTGCTGTTTTGTCACCTACTTTACAAGAAAGGCCGCCCTGCGCGCCCAGGATGCGTTGCACAACATCAAGACCTTGGATGGGGTAAGTACCTCCCAATACCAAACCACCTACACCGTACACCCCCCACTCACACAGCCCTATACCATCTATGTAGCTTTGAGTTCTGCCCGTTTTCCTGTTATCTGTGTCCATGTATGTGTGCATTTCTTTTCGTATTTGCGTATGTACGTGTGCGCGTGTGTGTCTGCGCCTTTTCTTCGTAGTTCACATACACATATATATATATATATGTGTATATATATATGCATATACCCAGTACTGTTTGTGCGCCCTTTTGAATAATACAGCTTGAGAAAGTCAACCGCTTGCTACCCGATCGATCGATGACATACTTTCAGCGCATGGTTTTCGGGTGGGAAGGGAATCGAAGGTATCGAAATTGGAACTGTATTGGGCAGGACATGCAGGGACATTGGTGGACTATTGGTGTATGGCCAACACAAAATGTAATCATCAGTCAATTAGTGGATTCAATTATTGAGGACAATCTCATTGTTAACGTATTAAATGAAGCGTTCCACGCACAAGCAAACACACTAAGATTACTGGGCGGGTTGGATCACCAGGGGCAGGTTGAGTGGGTAAATCTAGCTAGTGGATGTTACCCTGCACAGTGGCTCAATTATCAGTCAAAAATAATGATAGCAACGGTGATAGAAACTAATGCTAATCGTTAGGATCCTTAGTAAGCTAATACCTGAAAATATTCCTGGTTTTTGTATTTGTTTATGAAGCTGCCTAAAAGTATGCTGAGATAATAATAAAGTAGTCTGGAGTATTTTACTATTCGAATTTTTTTCTTCAATATGTGGTAATTACAGTATTGAGGTTTATTTATATCATTTTAAAAATAATTTTTATCAATTAATTTGCCGCAAGTGAATGTTAAAATAAAAGTTTCTCCCAGTTTCTTCATTTGAAACCACAGTTGGCACTCGCTCCATCATTTACATATTCAAATCGTTAATGGAAAATCCATATAGGAACGTTCGGCTAGCAGTAAAACAAAGACCCAAACTCACACAGAAACATTGAATTTAGGAGGGGTTGATTGGGTGGTGGTGGTCGAAGGGACCCTGGCCAAATGGCGCCACGTGTGTAATTGTCAAAATAATGACCACATGTGGATGTGTGTGTGTGTGTGTGAGCAAGGTGGATCTTTGTTTGTATAAGTAAGTGCCTGGATGTACAGCTATGCGTGTCTGTATGAGTATGTGTACAGCGACTGGGTGTGAGTGTGTGAGCATGTCTGATCCTTTAATGCATTTGGCAGGCTGCCCTCAACGGAAAGGACATCGATGTCGACATGGACGTGGAGGTCCTCGTCAGCTCTGAAGCTACTTAATTTACCTGAAATAATCGATAGGTAAACAGACGTTAAAATGTCCACATTTCCAAACACACACACATATATACTCTTGCGGAGACAGAGGAAAAGCCCAGCTTGTCAACGGCCACAATAAATATTTTGTTTTGAACTGCCCACAATTCTCTGCGATTTCCCTTTTTCTCTCTCTTATATATATATATATATGTAAGTGTTAAGTGTCCTGGGCAATCGTTGACCTTTTTCTCGGTCTTTTTTTTTCTGGCACGTGTGAAAATTTACAGTTGCAAGAGTCCTGTCAAAAATAAGGAAGGAGAAAACAAGATATTAAGTGGGCGGCCCAAAGCTGTGCTATGGATATTTAATTTGACAGTTTCTGTACAATTTTAAACGACAAAAGTATTTTAAAATTCCTTAAAGATTGATAAGCCATGTTTTTCCCTCTTTATTAATTTATAGTATTCACTCACTTAAGTTAAGAAATTTCTTGGGAAACTGAAAGACGTTTCCGTATTTGAAATTAATTAGAATACATTCCATTTTATCATGACCCTTATTGTTCATTTTGATGAAATTCCTTGTTTGCAGTGTACCTGTTCTTTATTTGTGCAAGGATTTGGATGCTTTTTTTACAAGAACCAAAGACTAACCACAATATTTGGACAGCTAATTGACAACCGGAGTAGGTCTAAAAAGTAACTTGCTGCAAATCGCATTATAGCCTGTATGCCATTAAATTGAAAAGGGTTTTCCATGCTGTATTTGGCCAGCACAAACATACACATCCACACTAGACGGACAGTTAAATGAAATGTCAGAAAAGAGCAATTCAGATTGAGGCAGACGGCCATTTTACTCATTCAACTGTCAATTTTGAATAATAGAGCAGCAAAATGGCGCAACAATAAGAGTGGGAAGGGTTTTCCGAATGGAAATCGGTGGCTGGTCGAGGAACACGGACCAAGGACCAAGGACCAGAGGCGGTGACATTTTCTCGTAATTTGTGCAAAAACCTTCTGGCTTCAGTTCGGTTTTATTTGGTTTGAAAAGAGATGCGGGGAGGCCTCAGCACGAAAGCATTTCATTTCAATTTGCTGAACATCATTCAGTCATTCCGTCACTTTGTCCGGACTGTGCTCCCACCCTCCTCCTTTTCCTTCCCTTTCGTCCTGCCAATGGGAAAAGTTTCCTGCAATTGAAGCTCCATTTTCTAATATCGCTGTAAGTATTATTATTATCATTTCCGCTGCTCGAATCGTTTGAATGAAAAGTTAATTGAAATCAAAGTAATGGCCACTGCCTGACAGGACCCAGTATCAAGGACCTTATCAGTTCGCCTTTCTACGAATGTAAAATAAATGGGAAATTTGTTAAAAGCATCTCGCATTGAATTGCAATTCTCAAGTGCTAATGGCCACGTTAATGTAATGGGCTCTCTGGTTCCCTTTTTGTTTCGCTCACTCCTTCTGTCGAACTTTGATTCCTTCCTTTCCGAGCTATTTCATTAGCGCTTTTCATTTTGCATTGGGCCAAATTCAAATCTAATGAGATCGAACAACACTTCAATAAACTAATGAAATCATTGTAGATCCAACAAGGGTTTCGGTCTGTTGTTGCCTTAATGGTAGAGTAAATAAAGCGAGTGTTTGAAACATTAGTTCCTTAAGCTGAATGCAGATAGAAAAGTAATTTAATGTTGATGGTAGAAATCAGGAAATGATTTTCTGGCATACAAACATATTTAAAAACAGTAAAAACAAAGCAGAACTCGCTGATTTCAAGTTGAATTTCAATGTAGAAAAAAATCTTCAATGAAAGTGATGTGTATTCCAATCACATATCCCAAAAATATTACCCATTTTTTCTAACGATTTTCAATTTTTCTTTCTCTTTGACAGATGCACCATCCCATTCAGATGAAGCCGGCGGATAGTGAGAACAGAAATGGTAAGTTCCTCTTTAGACATCCTTTCAGGGCATATTTGTTCGTCCTCCGTCTCTGACCCGCTCCCCTGTCTCGTTCCCCGTTCAGTTGATTGCTAGTTTCTGCTCTTTTTTATCAGTGTGCAAGAGCCTTTTGGGCTTAATCACAAGCAAGGATATGGGGATGTAGTGTCTGTATTTGATTACACAAAACAACACATGGAAAGGAATTCGAACAGAGAATGCGGCAATGAAAATGAATAATGCTCAAACTGACAGGACGGGTGGAGAAAAAAAGAGAGACGGAAAAGAGGGGGCTAACTGGCTACAATCGTGTATTAGTTGGATTGTGAGAGACCAATAAATCGATTAGGAAATGTGCTGAAAAGAAGAGGGAAAAAGCATAGAAGTCATTCGTTCAAAAAAGTGCTAACAAAAGGTTGATGCCACAATCCGAGAGCGATGAAATATTACTTTTAGAAAAAAATATGTGGCTTACTTTCTTTTAGGAATTTCTGTGAATTATTCTTTAAAATACTTAGATTTTATCATTGTTAGAATAAAGTATCCTTAGTATTCTCTTTCATAGACTAATCAACATATAATTCTCACTGACAAATCTCATAGAAGTTGACAGTTCTACCGCCTTTCTACCTCCTTTCATTTCAAAAGTCAAATCGGAAAGTCGCTATGGCTTCCATAGCACAAATTGAACGGTGATTTCCCTTCACGTCCTTCTTGTGTCTGCTTCTTGCGCTCCACTTATGCGCTGCGTTTCCGTTTCCGCTCTACCGTGTGTGTCAGACGTGCGTGCTTGTGACTTTTGGAATTCCTGGTTGTTTTTAGCCTTGCTCGAATGCAACGGAAATGTTTAGGGCATCGCTTGCATTCACCTCGATGTCCATCGATTGTTGTTCCCTTTTGTGTTTTCCCATGCTTTCCCGCTTTTCCCTATCTTACATAATTGCTTTCCTTCGTTTTCGATTCGAGTACAAGTGGCTCAAGGGCCAACTACCTCGCAGAGAACACTTTTTTTCAACCAACCCATTAGCCATATCTCAGCGTATATATAGGAGAGATCCGAAAGCCATTTGAGCGTGTTCTGGCCGCTGCTTTTGTTTCTCCTCGATTGCCTTCGATTGCGTCAAGTGTGTACGCGTGACAAAAATAAATCACAAAATTAAAAATACGTAACACGGAAATTTTATGGTAAATTAACGAAAAATTGGCACCCAACTGAGCGAGAATCTCTCTCGACACTCTCTGGGTTTTAGTTTTGTTTTTTTTTCGCTGTTTAATAAACGAAATATTAACAAATCGCATCACTAAAATGAAGATAAATGGCCGAGAGTGCGAGGGAAAAATACTTATCCAACACTTGATTCGGCTGGCAGTTTCTTTTTTCTTCAACGTATTTCTGAAAATGCACTCAAAAACGATTTTGCCAGAGATTGACAGGAAACAAGGTGTTTAAAATTTTGACAAATACATAAATTGTAAGACGAAGACAGTTACATGCACTTGCAGAAATTATTTAATCTTAAAGATATTTTCCAAATACAATTGAACCAATAAAATCAAGTTAGACAATGGCATAGTTTGTAGCTCATTAAAATAGATTTATTTAAAGTTGTTAAATATTAAATATATTTAATATTATTCTCAAGGATCCTTAACCTTTTCGAAAAGTGTATTGGCAAAAAACAAATGCCAAACATTTTCAAATGCCACACAAATTTTCTCAAATGCAACAAGTGCAAGATTCGCCTAAGTACACACAAATATTACCCCTTTCTCTCTCTCGTTCTCTTTCTTACCATCTCTTTCACTCGCTGTATAGCTCACTCTCTCTCTCTCGCTCTGTAGAGCCGTGCGTGTTGTGCGAAATGTTTTGGCGACACTTGACAAAATGCCAGAAATTCTAAATACTTTTAGCTGCCGTTTGTCGACGTCTGTGTAGCTGTCCGCCTTTTTAGCCTGCCCTTTTGGCTTGGCTTAGTTGCCGAGTTGTTCGGGAAGGATGCCTTATTTTGTTGCTGCCTTTTTGCCGGCATATTCTGGCCATCGATTGTCAACGTCTCTGTTGCACATTTTGGCCAACTAGCCAACATGCAAAATCATTCCAAATTAATGAGATGCGAGCAAATGCAAGTAGATGCCCGCTCGTAGGCACGATTTTATTTATGAACACAATTTCATTGCTATGCCTTTTGGCTTTCGAATTAATGGGCTCAATAATTTGCAAATTGTCAGACGTCGACAACGACGAATCAATTTTCATTTCACCGCTAGGATGTGATGACAAAAGATTTAACTTTTTAAAGTACCAATAAAAGCCAAGTAGTAGGTAAAATTAAATTCAGTAAAAATGTTTCTAATAGTGTTAAAAATGACTGTGTAATAAATTTTTTGTGTTACTTTACCATTCATAAGATTTTTCACAGTTTAAATGAATGTTTCTCTGTCGGTATCTTAAGATCTCAAAATGCATTTTCATGTTTGCAGTTTCAGCCCACAGATGACTTTGTGTTTGTGTGTGTGTGTGACCCGGTATCTGGCAGATACTCACTGAGAAGCTTAACTGCCGGTCGCATTAGCACACTTTTCGATTCAATTATAAAGCGTTCTGCGGGCCTGGGAGCGAAAACAAAGCGCTTTTTATGTTCACTGAGTTTTCAGGCCCGAACAGCTCTTCAATTGATTTTCTAGCTGCCCGCTTGACGTGATCGCTCGTTTAGCCAGATACATAGATATAGATACATCTGCAAGATACAGATACAGAGATACGGCAAGTATTTTTTCTTTATCGTTTATTTTTTGTTAGCTCTGATGTTAATTGCTCGCGTCTCGAAACCTTTTAGGTCGTCGCGATCTTGTCAAGTGAGCGCACAACTTTGGCTTGGCATTAAATGTGTTAGAAGAGGCGATACTTGCTGTTGTTGTTGCTGTTGCTGTTATATCCCGGGATGGGATGCACAAGGGGCGTGGCTGGGGCAGACCCGTTTGGGAAGATGTGTGAAAGAGGTTCCAGCTAAATGTGCAGTGATTTATGTTATGTCACGACAACCAAAGCTGCTGTAAATCGTTAAAGTTATTTGCTGGATTTATGAATACATAATGTATGAAGTAAATTGAAGCTAACTGGGCTTAAGAGAATGACTAAATTAAAGACGCTCTTCACCACACATCTCATGTTCAGATACAAACGAAGAAACACTTACTGGTCTAAGCCGGTTACTAAGTACATTGTAAATAGGTACTCGCAAATATGTGTTTACCCGCGTTAATTTTATTAGATGACATATGGGCATTGCTTATATAACTAGTTAACAATAAGTTAATGAGCGGAAAATGATTATTAACCTTCAAGATAGAAGGTAATTTAAAACCTTTTTCTAAGTTTAGTTTAATAAAGTAAATAAGAGTTTATTAATTTCTTAAAGCCTCTAATAACATGGGTCCCACTAATTAACCTATAGAAAGCTTTAGATACCATATCTCCTAAGCCTATATACTGATAAAAACTAAACCCAGTCGTAATAAAATCAAGTCAGTTAACACAGAGGAATCAAGTATCCGCTCCGCGAGCAGGAAAACCGCTGAGTCAACTGCCGGCACTGATCGGAAAGAGAAGTCAATACGAGCCGAGAGAGAGAGGCAGTGAGAAATCAGAAAAGCAAGAGAGAGCTACTCATACTCGCACTCATATAAACGAAAAACTGTCAACCGCTGATGACTCCCCCAGCAAACATAAATAAACAAACAGCCGAAAGGCAAAAGGCAACGAGCGTGGCTAATTGGCTTTCATGTGAGCGAGCCACAAGTGTCCGCAACAGCTGTTTAGAAAGAGAGGGGAAGTGAACAAATAAGAGAGATGGAAACAGCAAGAGAGAGAGAGAGAGAACCGGCATTGCCAGCGGGCAAAAGTATCTGTATCTCATCTCGAAGTGCAGCGCAATTGATCGCGGGGCAAAGTGAAGTGCCTGGGGGCTTTTCAGTCGATCGGTGATCGTCGATCGGGAATCATTATTCGTTATTCAAAAGTCGCGTTCACATATCCGAAAGCTATACGTGCCGTAGTTTGTCATTCATTCGCGGCACGATCTCCGTATCTTCGTATCTTCACCGCACTTTGTGGTTGGTCAACTGCAAATGAAATTCTTTAAATTAAATCTACGCCAACCGCAAAGCCTTAATTGAAAAACAAAAAAAAAAAAACGAAAACTAAATGAAAAACGTTTGAAGATATTGATAAACTATTGGCACATCCAATTGATTAAATTGCTTCTTCATATATATCGGTAGACGACTACGTTTATACGTGTGCCTCGTACTTAATCATCGTTGATTTAGTAATTGTGAATATGATTTCGAAATTGACAACCGTGCGGTGTGCTAACCAATTGTTAATTGGCTCAAAAGAAACGACTATAAAGTGCAATTAAATTATTTAATAACCTCGTGTGGATTTCATTTGAAATTACACAAAAGCCATGAGCATAGTCTGCATTCTTGTCTAGCATTGGGGTACTTAAAGCGTCCTGTTCAGCTTTTAATTGACTTTTTAATTTATTACATAATTATCAATTATAAGAAATACTATAGTTTAATAGCTAAAGTGATATAAAATATTTTTAAAATCGGGTTAGTTTAGTTTAAAATTCAAAATTTTCTTCTTTAAAACCTATTTATGAAACTTAAAAAGACTTCTGAAAAATAGGTTTTTAAACTCGAAATTTCCTTCGAGATTAACTCATAATTTACAACCTTTCAGAATACAGAAATATTGACTTTTTAGTAGCTTTTTAAAATCTAATTAAAATCCAAAGCAAACAAACACAATTTTCTTTAAAAAATATTATTAGGCTTTGGAAAAGTGCTGGGAAAATCATGAAAGTGTCACAATCTCTTTCGTTCTCTTTGGTCAGGCAAAAGACTTTCGCCATAATTCAAAATTTAGCCAACATTAAGTTAATAGCTTTGCTAAATCTACCGAAAATATCCGGCAAGCATACCTCGGACAT